GGGAGGAATGTCTACTTAAGGTGGTCATTCACCTCTGTTCTGAAAACATGACTTTCAAGAGAAAGGCAGAGAGACCCAGCCATGGATACAAGCTTGATGGAGGGGCAGATAGAATAGTTCTTTTCTTTATAACCCTTTTAAGGGAAAGTCAGAAATTTTGTGGTTCTTTTCCTCCACTTTTGCACCCTGCCTATGAGACGTATCCTGCAGATGTGCAGACTATTACTAGCTGTAGCAGAGTACTATTAGACATATTCTGCAGGAAAATGTATCCACTGTGAGACCATGGCAGTTACATGATCAAAATGGTTCAATGAGTCACACTTCACAAGACGTTCTCCCCAAAATGTAGTGAACATCCGTATTTCCAGACATGTATTTGTACACAGATCAGGCCAAATGCATTTTCTGACCAAAGTTTACACATGTAATAAGCATGTGTGAATGTTAGAATTTTCCCTCTGTGGAAGCAGTCCTAGACTTGAGGTTGATGACTAACTCAAAATTATATATCTAAAATTAAGACCCATAGATCGACAGTTACTAGTTTATACCTACTAGTCAAACAGAATGCTGACAGTTAGCAAAACTTTCTGGCTTTACTGATAGTACTGTTAACCTGGTGAGATTCCACCTTTTTCATGATGGATCCTGAATGCAGTGAAGGCATGGGCATAATAAATAATACCAAAGGGTTTATGTGCATGGAAATATTTATTCAAGTGTTCTTTGTGTTCCCTCTGTAGGTAGTCCAGAATTACTAATGAAGAGTTATTGTCAATGTTGTTCTCATACTTTAAATTTTTCTCATCTATATTTTATTGTAGTAATCAGGTTGATAGGGAGGGAGAGACTTGAGGGTGACAGTCTAGCTAACTGAGTAGTGAAAAAACAGTTTGTGATGTATTAAATACCTGTTGATATTTTTTAAGCATGTGAGATTTTTCTCTTTGTGTCATCAAGCTTTGTAAGTAGGCATTCTGGAATTTTCTTCCTGTATGAGTGCGTCTCTATGCAGGGTCTTAGAGCCTCAGTCATTGTTGTGCAGTGAAAAACAACAGAGTTGATGTGACTTCAGGGAGGCCTTTTGCTTTTTAGTTAACTAATACTGTGAGTTTTTTCTGCCTTCAATTTTGTTTCATTCTTTTTTAAAATTATTTAATTACTACTCATATTTGCATATCCATCCCCCCATTCCCTCACCTTCCCATCCTCCCATGTTCCCCACAATCCTCCAACCCATCCCCCAACTCCTTTGTTTCATTCTTACACAATTTTAGTTACTAAACATCCAATTATTTAGATCAGATTGACCACACCAAAGATAGATTACTTGGAATTTTCTGTGGTGGTAACTGTAGTATTTATCTCATTGCCTCCCACAAAATAGAACCTCAGTAAGCATGAGTGAATGCAACTATAACTACAGACCCACCTCAGAGTCTTAGCCCAAGTTTCCACAGTGAGAAAAGAAGGCACTTCTATACCACCCAGCCTCTCCTCTTCCAGAGTCTTAGTCCTGCTCCACTCTGTCCCATTCAGAGGCTTATTGTAACTTTTGCCATATTAGAACAGAATGTGATTTCACTCAACAGTGTTACTTTCTGACAAATACTACTCAAGGAGTTGAGAATCCATCACTGAAAAATAGACAAACTTATAAAAAAAATGGCCAACTCAGCTAAAAACGTGTGTGTTTGTATGTGTAAAAGTACCTATGTAGTGTTTCATAAAAAAATCACATCTAAATAAATGTAGCAATGTATATACAATGAGTAAGTAATTTCCATTCTCGGAACTATCTCACAATGGATTTGGTATGTATGTGTGTGTGTATGTATGTATGTATGTATGTATGTATGTATGTATGTGTAGATTTCCATTTTATGCCATTATCAAATAGCATTATGGTCTCAGAAGTGCTGAATTGGCTTGTTAAGCTGATTGGTCAGTTCTGACAAATTTGGATATTCATCTGTACATCATTGCTGTTGCTTCTCTGACCTCTTAGAAGTCAATGATGTCCCCTTAGGAATTTTTAACTGGTGTAGAGAGTGTGTACCAGCATATCAAGACAATTGGACTTAGAGTAGAAAGAAGTTTAACATGTGTTTAGAATACCAAGAATACTATTGAGTGATCGTAGTGTAAAAATGCTTGTGTCTATCCTTACCTCCAGCTCTGCAGCACCTACATGTGTCACTCATATCCCATAAACTGATTAGCTTGTGACTTCTCTCAGTGGGTCCACATGACTGTCATTAGGACTCCTCCCCGCCTGTTCTCCTGTTATGGCCTTCAAGCCTGTGTTCTGTTTTAATGAATCTTTACCCACCCACTCCCGCCCCCCCACCATGTTCTTCTGGAGCATCTTGTAAGACATGCTTTGTTTGACGAGCTGTAGTTTAATCCAGACAGACAATAAAATCCCCGAGGGGGCTCTCATTCCTTTCATTCTGGGGTGGTCATTTGTATTACTGCAAACACATGTTCTCAAAATGCACATTACATAAAAATCTGGTATGGATTGAGAGCTTCATTGTCATGGCATACTTTTAATCTCATGGGGGAAAGGCATAAAGAATAATGCAAGTGCTTTAAGACATTTGGATGATTGGCTTTTGGAAGAATAATCTCAATAATATTCTCAATTATCCATAAACCACTGGACAGAGACATGCATTTTGAGAGAATTCCTTGACATTCTGTTTATGCCCATCCTAACTGGAATATATAACACTGAGGAAAATTTTATGTTTCTGAGAAAAATTTTAAATTAATGAATTTAATTCAATTTTGATTTTATGTGCATGGATCTTTTTGCCTGACTGTATATCTGAGCACCATGCACCTGCTGTGTCTGCAGAGGCCAGAATAGGGCATTGGATCCTTTGAAACTGGAGTTACAGTTATCAGCTGCCATATGGGTGCTGGGAATCAAACGTGAGTCCTTTGGAAAAGCAACTGATGCTCCTTGAGCCATCTCTATGGCCTCCTGACTGGATTTCTATCTTGGGCTTTGAGTCATGGGTAAATAAGAGACATGGATCATTTCTTCGCTTTTAAGGATGCTGTGACCCAATTTTTATCCACAATGTGCAGTGACAGATAGGAAAAATTTTATCTGCATCTCATATAGTGATAATAGTGTGGTGTCAAATTCTTTTCCAAATAGTGCTGAGTAAGTATAGTAGTGTGAGCAGTAACAAGAAAAACTACCTGCTCCGTGTTCTATGACACATTTCTGAATGTATCTCATTGCACAATGGATGGTTGTTGTTGTTATTGCTTTATCTGAAGTGCAGTTTGGACAACCTGACATTACCTGAGTTGTTTTCATACAGATTCACTACATTTTCTTTGTCAGTATTATTAGAAAGTTAGTGACCATGCTCAGAATATACCATTTAGTTATGTCCAAGAAGTTGGAGGATAAAAATTAGTTTATAGACATGAAAAATCAAATTAAAAACAATATTCTATTCAAATTAGATTGCTTACTATCAAATATTAATATAGAGCAAAAGTTAATTTGAGTTATTCATTTTTTTCTCCTTCACACACAATTTAGAATTCCTTAAAATATGTCCTTTGTCTACACAAGTAGAACTGGCAGGCAGGCAAATACCTACAAGACTCTAAATTATTGAGCTAGACGTTTTTGGCACTTAGTTGAAAAAATACAAGCTCTCAGCTTTATGAAGGTTTTAATTTTATTCTTTCCCTTAACTTTACTCTAAATGTATTTTTTCTGCCGAGATGAACATCACTGAGTATCTAATATTAGTGTGCTTTATTACACCTTCTTCATAGAAACAAACAACTTGGTTGATGGTAGCGTGTGTGTGTGTGTGTGTGTGTGTGTGTGCGTGTGCGTGTGCGTGTG